ATTTCACCTTTTACTTCCTTTTTGTTGAATGTACAAAGATACATGTGATAGAAATGTTTGTGATAACCGACAAAGAGCACTGAACACAGCTGTCTCGTCCTGTGTTGGGACTCGTCAGCAGTGCACGTACTTTTTGTGTCCCCGTGTCAGGACTCGAACCGCGATCAGTCGGGTTGGGACTTCAAACCCTTACAGATCAGCTATGACCGTGATAAACTAGAAATTAGCATCGCTAGTTTTTTGACGCACGACCTGGGTAGACGTAGAATACATAGTGAGAACGGAGGTACTGTATTTCTACGGTAACCACGATTCTACAGAAATTGGTAACCGCCATATGTAGGCATGTATGATCAATTCCAACGGACACTTAATGAGAGCGTACAGACGATTTCAAACGTAACAGTACAGAATGACATGTAAAATTTTGACACAGTAGAACCAAGACAGACGTCTATTGTTATAGACACAGAAAAACAGGCTAATTGTAAGCAGTCTGTTTGTTTAAATAACTGTTCAACGTTGGGACATTCTGTGTTGCACAGTCAATGGTATTTGCCTTTTATAATTGGACTACTTAAACATTCATAGTAGCCACGTGCAGATACTGAAACACTCAAATTCTCTTCCAGAGAATTTACACGCTCAATCAAAGGGTTGCCATACATCACATAACGGGGAGTCAGGTGATGTTGCTGGGATTCAAACACATCCTCCGGGGTGACACTAGTGGCGTTTCCACCAGGCCATCATCAGTTAATCAATGTACTACAACGAAACCCGGAGCTTTGGTTGTACGTAATTCTCTTTCGGTTTTACCGGCGCTTAGCTAATCCATGATGGTACAAACAAAGTTCTGGAAGCAGAAAACTACCAATCAAAGGGTGACCATGTGATACAACGAAACTGGACAAATAACGAGGTGATACTGGAGTTCGAACCGCTGAACCATTCACTGCCACATTGTTGTATCAGATCGAGTCGCAGATACAGTCAAGTCATTAGATGTCTTGCGTGACGAACCCTAGTTAACTCGGGACACTCCGAAAACCCTCAGTCGGTAAGTAGATTTGGCAGCACCCATACAGTATGGAACGTCAGAAAATCACAAGCTCAGACTGTTTCTCGCTTTTAACACAAATTCCATCTAGAAGGCGACTGCCTGGTGGATAGTCTGTTTTCTTTCTACAATCGGTGACAAAAATTACAATGCTCGATTCAGGAGTTTCTGAAAATGTCAACATCAAAAGGAAACAGATATTTTCACCAGATGGCACCCAATTGTTCGCCCAAATCGAGGCCGTCAAATTTAGGCGCGAAATTGTTGAAGAAATGATACTCCTGTGATGCTCAGTTCACTTACCTGTGTCAGTGGTCTCTCACGTAACTGGATAGCTAGTTCGATTGAAGAAATTGAGATTTTATTTTGAGTAATTTACACAGCTGATGCTTTTATTGAATCTCATAAGATCTGTACACACAGTGAGCTCAACTGCTAGTACACAATTAAATTAGTAAATTATAACGCTCACTCACGGCTGCAGTACAGTTACGTGTCTCGCTTCAGTGAGTCGCGACTTAAAATTTCCCTTGGTTCGAGCTCTGCCAACTTGGGATGGAAGAAAGTTCGAGGTTATGCGTACTTTGGGGATAAAACAGTGAGACCGCAATTCTAGCCGACTATTTTGGAGCAACAGTTCAGGCAAATGTCTCCTGAGGCGATCATTCTTAGATAGCTTCAGAATGAAAAACGAATTATGGTTGAAGAGTTTATCGTATTACAGGGAATTATTTACTCTTCACATCTCATGCAACCTTCTTGGTTCTCGTCAGCGGTGCGAATTCATCCTTTCAATTGAGAATGGAATTCTGAACCTAAACGGTAGAACGTCGGCAGACAACCCAAAAAAAACTTGACCTTGTAGTCCTATTGCCAACCACTAACTCCGATCACAACATCATCAGCCTCCCTGAGTTGGGACAATCTTAGACCAATCACTAGTGTCAGTCCGCCAACCTCAAAATTCTAACATTCAATTCCAGTCTAACTGATTGCATCAGCTCACAGGAATGGAGTAATTTTGCGCAGGCATGGATGCAAGAACACCGACCGACGGACGTGGATGTGCTGTGTTTCGAAGTGAATAAATCTTGATCAAGAACTTGTTTAACATCCCCAAAATGGGTAATCCATTGGAGAACATGGATACAAGCAACTCCGAATGCGATACGAGTCGCTACAATGTACACCTTGCAAGCACTGTCTCTAATGTACATTTTCTGAGCGAAGACTGTCAAACGACACTGGTTGGTTCCTTCCACCAGGTTGAGACTCTTCAGCAATGCGTATCGTCTTTCCCCTGCAGAGATTCGAACCGTGAGGGTAAACTCTTGGTCCCTGAACTACATTGTCGACGACAGACAGCAGGAGCACACAGGCTATATTAATTTATAACGTCTTGATTAGCACATACTATTTTGAAGATCGAAGTATACTGACAGTTCTTCATCAGTCGTAACCATGAAAACCAGAAGAAACATCCTGATCACTGAATGTGTTGAATTCAACTATTTCGTGGTAATCTCATCAGCTGCGTACATACATTCAAATCAAGTTTGGTTAAAAGAGTGGCAGGTTTGGGGACAGGTGTACACACAAGGAGAAGAGAATATCAAACAATACGAAGGCCAAAGGCCAATAACGTGAACCGGATTGGGCATAGGAAATTTGTGTCATGTTACAAAATCCCGCATTGAAGCTTACGTGCATCGTATACAGGAATTGGGGTCGATTGTCGAACAGATCGATTCGATTTTGAATGGAGTAAATCTGATGTGTGGAATAAAATTCTTCAACTTCATCCACCATTTACAAAACAAGACTAACTCTGGAGAACCGAAAAAGAACTCAAAAAAATCATTGGTGTATGCATGCAAATATGACAATTTCTCCTCGAGTCCGGAAGGGTGTGATGAATCTATCGAATATAACACTCAGTCAATTACAACTTGAGACCCTATTGCCTGGTTTTACGTTTTCTGTGCCACACACTAAGGTTAATCGCATAAACATCGAAGCACAGTTTGAATATATGTACAAACAACTTTCGGAACTAGTACCAAGTTCTTGTGATGCATTTAGCTGCTTCAAAGCTAAAACAGTAAATCGAGCCAACCAAGTGTGTGCTGCTGATCCGGGACTGACAGGTGTCATGTCAGAAGGTCATTGGAAAGCATTAGAAGAACTTAGAAACAACGAAGATATTGTTATTTTCAGGTCCGACAAAGGATCTGGAGCTGTCAACATGAATAAACAAGATTATATTCGAAAAACGGAAGAAGTGATTTCGGATAGAAGCAGATTTGTGCCTGACCGCTACGGGCAGGATCGAACACATACCTCATGATTGATTGATATTCTCTTCTCCTTGTGTGTTCACCTGTCCCCAAACCTGCCACTCTTTTAACCAAACTTGATTTGAATGTATGTACGCAGCTGATGAGATTACCACGAAATAGTTGAATTCAACACATTCTGTGATCAGGATGCTTCTTCTGGTTCTCATGAAAATGTTAAACGGAACTGGTTGAAGGATTTTTAAACGTATACTTATACGGCAACTTGAAAGAGACTGAGAAGGAATAAAACTGCTCAATGTAGTACACGCAGTGTACTTGTGCACACACCAGAATTCAAGTCTTAAAAAAATCAATGAAATGCATTTGACAGAATCGATGGTCGGTGGGGCAAAGGGAGGGTGTATGACAGTGTGCGACAACTCGAACAATCAATTTTGATGTACAAAAGCACGTGGGCGCATGGAAGATGCGGAAAAAATCAAATGACTGTCTTGTCTGGTTGGCACGGAAAGAATTGGTAGTGGCTGGGATAGCGGTGGTCAGTGCAGAGACCGAGTATACCGAATACAAATCAACTCCGATTGAGTTGGGCTTGTAGTTGACCGATTAGAGCCGGATCCACATGACTGCGTAGTAGGGCATTGGCAAACTGTTCCCCGCCCAATTTGCTTTGCCATGTGGAGAATGCAGACAGCATGGTTTTACGTAGACCTTCATCAGTTGCCAGTGCGGCCGGATGTTCCGTGTAGACCGGGGCGTGGTCTGGTGAAGCTGGGCGCGTTTCATCAAACAATACCTACGGGAAAAGAATATGGTAAGTTAATCCGTGTAAACAACGGTGTTGATTGTTGTTTTTGTAGCTCGTGTAGTATAACTTAGTGTTCAGTTGTTCGCCGAGCTTGGCAATTGTATTGCAAACGTTTCATCACCAATCGAGGTGACATTCTCAATGCAGTACCTGCATCCAGTTACTGCATATATATATGCATGGAAGATTTTTTTCTCCACTGACGCAAGGCTATTCCAAACCAGAACATCAACACAGATTCGAAAGCAACAGGGTAACTTTTTCAATAAGCTAAGAAACGGACGATGGTACCACACAAATCGTAACATGTTTAAATTGATGAGGATATTTATGACAGCCTTCGATTCCATCCATAATCTAATACTTTAACAAATCTGCGAATTAACTGGAAGGTTAAAATGCAATAGACCGAATATGGACTAAACCAGTGGTTCCGAAATGAGAAAGCCGTAGAAATTGAAAAATTAGGTCAAGAAGCCATTTTGATTAGCCCGAGGGCGATGAATATTCAACTGCCACATAACCACTCTTATATGGTAAAAATAGGGAGGGAGTGGGGTGGAGACAAAAAGCATTATGAAACACTGCATACGCAAGAGATTACGCGGATCCACGAAAAATTTGAAAGATCGATGTTAGTAAGAAACCGTGCAAGGCGCAGTATTTTGATCTACCTGTTTCTATGTGCTTAAAACGAGTGATAGATGAAGAGATACATTTGCTGAGGTGTGAGTAATGAGGGTGAGATGGGTCTAGCAGTATCCTAAGAGAAAGTTTCTGGCAAGCATGTAAAGGCTATGAAATTGCAAACTGCACAAGAATTTCACAAACTATTTCACTGTGTTGAGATACGTGTTTGATGGATCTGTGTATGAGTCTAAAGTCTTTGGATAAGAAGACGACCGGAAAAGCGGGTTATGGACGCATAAAGCCAATGCGGGGGAATGTGTGAGAAGATAAAACGTTTTATCAAGTGGATTGGAGGAGGGGATAAATAGCGCTTCCAGACAGACAATTAGCGAGATGAGTATCCTGAATTGTGAATGAATGTCTCGGTAACATGAGTACACAATGAAATATCATACGGGAGATTCAGATCGAATGAAATGGAGTACGCAAAAAGATATTGGAAGTGAGTGTTACGTTTCAAATTCATGTTGACTGACTGGAACTGGGGATAGAAATGGCGATATTGTGAAATGACGAACAGGGTGTGTGTGTGTGTGTGTGTGTGTGTGTGTGTGTGTGTGTGTGTGTGTGT